ACAGATTAGAGGGGGTAATTCCATTTTCCCAAATTCACTTGGGAAAGTGGACTTACCCTTTAATTTATTCTCTCAGCAGCTTAGCTTCTGCTTCAATTGATATGGTTATTAGGAGTGGGATAGAACTTATGGAAATTCCATATAGAAAATCTATATTTATTTAAAATGTTTAACTATAGATACCCTTTAAAAGCCGACAAGCTGCAATATATGAAATGTTTGTTCCTGGGTTTAGTTACATTTTATTATTCCGTAACTGTTTGCTTTGGCTATAATGATTGTGTTTATATTTTTTTTTTAAAAGGGACTTCATTGCATTTTATCAACATAAAGGTCAATTTCAGGGCCAATGATATCCAGGAACCTCCTTCTCTCCTGCACAGGAAATAAAGAAATTCCCCCACCTCCTCCTTCTCCTCCAGCGCACTCTGCTGCAGTTAGCCGTACCAGACGCTAGATGGCGCTGCGATCCCAGCCCTCGTCTCTATGGTATACCCACCACTGTCTCCATACCCATTAATGTGAGTGGTGAAGGAGGGGGACAGGGTGGAGCTGACACAGAGAAGGAAAACACGAGAGGAAGAGATCGAACAATATTCACCGGAGAACCCCGAATTCACCTAAGAGGGTGCAGATCGCAGCAAGGTGCAGTATGGCAGAGTCACATGGGGTTCATATGTAGGTTTGGGTCATGTGGCTGCCCGTTGTAATGTATGCAGGGCTGTGCTGGGTGTATTGCCTATACTGGGTGTGTGTTTACTATTTGTGTGTTTCATCTACATGTTACATAATAGATATTTATAAATCTGTAGATGAAAGTCCAGCATTTAACGGGACAAACTGCCATTTAAGATTTACATATTCATGAGAAAGAAAGTTAATGACCTTTTTATTTATTTTTGGCTTGTTGGCTGAGCACCGAGCTTCTTATTGACAGTTCAATCTGATGCTGCCTAAGGTGGCCATACAAGTATCCACATGTGATTTGGTATAGGTACAAGCAATCGTAAGCATGTGATTTGCTGTATCGAACCATGTGACACAGTATTGATTGCAAATGTGATGTATTGAAAACGATCATTTAGTCGATCTGTATTGTGATTGGTTGTCTGACGCACACATAGGTATTTGCTCGGGGGATCAGAAATGCACACGAATGATTGATTTGTGAGAGTCGGAATTGATCGGAGGGTTGGTGGTTGTGCATGGGCTTGGTGCAAAACTGTCAGTGACACGTCCCCCTCTTGACCCAATCAGCTGCGGGAGGGGCGTTCTGCAGCTACACAGAACAAAGGGCTGGGGAATGCCCCGGCCACAGCTGATTGGGTGGCCACAGCTGAGGAGGCGAATGCTTCACTGGCAGCTTTGCATTTGCTCTGGTTCGCACCAAGCCCACCCTACATCCCTATTTGTGGTTTACAAGTCTTTGCCTCATTCTCATGTCCCATTCGGGTCAGCAGAGTCCCGTGGCTGGATTTGCAGGTGTCACGAAGTATTGGCACTTTTTACTGAATTGTCGCATGCCTCATATAGCCAATGGTTCAAGGCCACATGGGGTCACTATGTCGCCCAGAAGAAGGGACCCCATGTGGCCCCGAAACGTTGGCTGTATGACGCATCTGACAATTCAGTAAAAAGTGCCTATACTTCTTGCACCCATTATCGAGTGCTTCTATTATTGACTGTATCTGACACGGCGCCATCCGTGTTGTCACTTCAAGCACCAATCTTCCATTGAAGTCTACAGGCTGTATGCAGTGCGGGTGATTTTCCTGTCAAAGCAATGACAAGCTAGCACGAGCCGCACGGTTCTGCCGCTGTTTTTACATCCAGAGGCTATCTGAGCCTAGGGACAGATGACCGATCCAGGGTGCAGTCTTTCTGGATCCAGGGTTGGATATCTGTCCTTAGCCGCTGGTAACCGCTGGATGTTCGAAATACATGTGACCAGAGACGGACAGCTGCGTCTCCTGTCAGCCTTTGATTGCTTTGTACAGGCTTCCTGGCCGCAGCTGATTGCAACCACCTGGAACTCCAGCCTAATCATCTGTAGATTCTTACCACAGTAATCCATTTTCCAGACAGTATAGGACATGTGAATGGAGCCTTAAGGTGCCCATACACTGCTCGATTCTCGTACGAGAATCGGGCGAAATCCCGCGATCGTACAAGCTGCCCATACACCTGATAACCATCGCACGACTTTAGTTGTGCGATGGTTGTAAGGTGATTCAAATTTCGTACCATCTGCCCATCTTGGACAGGCAGATCATACTTGCGATCATCGCAAGCCCTCTACACTGAGCGGCGGGCTTACGATGATTGCAGTGCTGAGCGGGCAGTGTGCGCTTGCGCACACCGGCCCGTGGGGCATTCGTCTTCCGAGCACGCCACCAACCTGCCAAAAATCGTACGATCTTCGGCAGGTTTCCCAGCGTGCTCGGAAGACGAAAGTCGTGCGACCGTACAGTAGAAGCGGTCGCACGCTGCCCATACACCTGCCGATTATCGTACGATCGCGGGATCACCCACAACTATCGTACGATAATCGGCTGATGTATGGGCACCTTTTATTCAACTTGATGTAGTTGCATCAAAAGATCGATTGAATCCTCATATATTGATACGTGTCCGGCCACCTTTCCAGGGCAGACCTTCCGAAACAATGAGACTGTTGGAAGATTATTATATTATGCAGATGTTCAGATTGAGTGTGTGTGGAGTTTGTCATCTATGGAGGGAGGAGAGCAGCCGGAGACGCCCAGTGATGGATAATTAGAGTGTGAGTTATAATGACCATTTGCTATTTCCTTCAGGATTGGTAGGCTGGGCACTCTGTGAGATCTTTGCTGTTGCTTGTAGATTTCCGTGTCATCGAGTGCAAACAGGTATTTCTGTTTTCTTCCAAAAAACGAGGAATTGCACAACACCTTAAAGAGGAACTTCATACAAAAACCCGTCATTTAACCCCCTGCAACCCTCCACTATTGTGTGAAAGGAAGGGAGAAGGAGTTGTATTATGGAAGTGGGTGAAGAATGTGGTAAGCACACCCTAAAGCTGGCCATAAGCCGCTGTCTCTGACAATACTGGAGCAGTGTATGGCCCAGTCTGCACTCCTCTGTTCAAATAAAGTTGATTCGTCAATCGACTTTTGTCGAAGGAGATGGTCCAAAAATTCTCAGCCGAGCTCTCCTGCAATCGCTGTTTTGGTATTCTGACTGCAACAGACCTGCCACTGTCAGAAAACAAAAACCTGGTGGGTTGGGTTGGCTATTGGCAATGACGTTGGGTATATACGTTTCTATTATCTTCATTCAACCCGCCGGCTGAACCAAGAAAGTCGAACCGCTTTCTCTATTAATGCTTACGAGCGTTGATCGAGTGATATCCCGCTGTTTACATTATATTCTGACAGCGGCACCCATACGTCAAAATTCGAAGCGTGTATGCCCGGCTTAAGTGTAGAACCAGCCTGGCAATTAATGTCTCTTGTTCGCTCCCTCCTGTTCTGTTAAAGATGAACTCCAGGGGGGAAAAAATGATTAACCCTTACAGTGGTGCTACCTCCGCACTGCAAGGGTTACCTGCTCATTTGTGTCTAGGTTTTTTTTAAAAAAAGTTATACTCACTCAAAGCTCCAAGCCGGCTTCTTCTTGGACCGGTCCTTCCAACGTCTCTCCCCCTCCACTGCAGCGGTCTAAGGTCCCATAAATCATCGTCTATATACACAGTGTACAGTATAGAAGTCAGGGTGCTGAGGAACATTCCAAGGCTGGAGGGAGCACCGTGACTGCTGGCCGACTTGGAGCTTTGGGGGAGTATATCTTTGTTATTTTTGTCCCTAGACACAAATTAGCATTTAAACCTCGCAGTTCAGGGGTAGCCACACTGCAAGGGTTAAAAGTGTTGCAGTTTTCCCTGTTCAGTAAGTAAAAAAACCAAATAAGAAGTTCATCCTGCAAGCACACCAGTGCTGTTCTATGCACACTACAGTGCTAGCTCGACCACCATTATCAGGAACTGTGGTAGGCTCCATTCACATATGGCGTTTGCGTTTTCCGCCACATATGGCGCAACTTTTCCTGCCACATGGTTTTTTTTGCATGCTGGCTGGTGAGTGCGCTGGGAAACCTTTTGATGTTGTACTGTATAGCCCTTCCATGTGCACCTTGCTTAGAGCTGGTTATGAGTTGATGAGTGCATTTTCCATTTGTTTTGCTTGACTGATTTGGTGCAGTGACACACTGGGGGTCTCAGCTGCCGTTATGATGTGTGGGGTCCCTTGTGTGTCCCTGGGGGGGGTTGGGCTGCCTCCTGACAAACCTGCACCCAACTCTATCTTTTGCTGCATGTGCTCTCATAGTTTAGAGTTAGGACCGCACTATATAGAGGTGCCTTGACGAGGCGGTGGGGCTTTCTCATATTCTGCAGAAGACGTGTAACTAAAACCTCTGTTTTAAACCTCAGCGGTTAGACAGGTTCTTTTGCATGCTGGCAGCCGAGCCTGCTGGGAAACTTTTTGCTGTTGGACTATTTTGCAGGACGCCACTATAGTCTGAATAATGCACATTGGAATGCTACCTTCCCTCTGTTCCAGCACTTCCACCTTCATAAGTCTCTTCAGCGGTTGACACATGCAGTAGTGTGGGGTGGCTTTGTCCCCCAACACGTGCTGTGCTTCTTTTCTCCAACACCTCTACCACTACAGCAGTGACTCTGTCTCTTTAAAATAGCTGGTGTGCAATCACATTGCCTGAATATAGGTATAGGAGTGTATGCAGACACCCTCCCCCTCCCCCCCCAGCGCTACAGGAACAGTTGCAGCCCAAGGGAATTTCATAGCCTTGTGCTTTTGTATGCTTCCCAGAGACATCATTACCATCAACGGACTGTTTTGTATTTTTTGCATCCAGTCTCATTGACGCACGAGTTACATGGACATGTGCTAGTTGCAGCAATTGCACAGTACCATGGTTTAGGGCTGCATTCCCATGCATGGGCATTTTCCATCGAAATCCATCAACATGAAACTTACCAGCGACAACCATGAGAGAGCGAGAGGCACGCCTTAGTGACTTGTTGCTGGGCAGGATGCCAGCGGTGAATGCAGACTGGAGCCAGCTCGGCGTTGCAGCATCGGGTATAGTTGGATTACATGATGACTGTTAGGTGCTGTGTGATTGCTGCATTTCCCAATTGGAAGGATGAAGAAATCCTCTTTTGCACAAACCGGCGCCCAGCCGCCTTTGATGTTTCATTCTGGGACTGTCCACTATTTGTTCATATTTCTTAACATGGCCATAAAAACGGAGGTGACCCATTGAGACGGATATATACTGATCCATCAAACCTTCTAGGACCTGACACTGTGTCTGGTGACCCGGCTGACAGGTGCACACACCAGTTACACTTCCTTAATTTCTCCCCAGAAAAGGGAAAGTTCATTTTTGCACAGAGATACTGTAGCAAGTTGTACATTTCCATATGTAATACATGCAGACAATGACAGATTGAAGTGCTCATCAATTCCCCCCCCAGGGGAGCATTGCTGGGCCATTACATGCCTGATTGTTTTAGGGGTGCTTTAACTACGCATAGTCACTCTAAGCCATCAGGACAAATGAATATGGAATTCAGGTGCCAGTCCGTCCAATCCAGGAGCCAGCAGGATTTTGTAGGAGCCAGCTCCATTAAAAACAATTGGGGAAAACCTCCAAAAGTTGGGCGCCAGCTGTCATTTATAAGGAGCATTGGCGACCTGGCTCCTGGGATTTGTCCAGTCCTGTATTTGGAGTTTAGAAAATGTAAAATTCAGAAGCCAATTTGCACATCTAGTTGCGTGGCTGCGTTCAATTGCCCCAGAAGATATTACACTCCAGCCATGGGTTCTGGTCCAAAGTACACACTTCCCGCCAGTATAAAATTCAATAGCATAAGACCACAAAACATATTAAATAAAGTTTTGTGAAGGTGAGCTGTGTGCGACTTTGTTATTAAATCCAATTAGCACAATGTAGGAGCCACAAGGGACTTCTGTAAAGTCGGGGAACGTTCCGTTCCATTTTAGATACTCGCATCAAAATGAAGCCTGCAGACACTAAAGGGAGCACAATCTACCTGCTCAGGGATTATGTTTTTCACCCAGACAATATTGCAGTTCACTAGACCTGTCTAATCCCTCTTGTTGGCAATCTGGGACTTCCTGCCTATGATGATGGAGAGAAAGAATGTCCAAACATGCCCCACTGCAGGCACCGAGTTGCCACTCGCAGACACAACAATTGTCAGTGTTAAAGAGTTTTCTCACAGGCAACAATTAGATCCAATGCTGCCTTGGAAGTTTGAATGTGATTGGAAGTTGCTCAGTACAGGCTTCCAGTGACCCTGTGAGGTACTTCCTGGATTCTGGACTATGGTCCAAATGGACAATCTTGAGTGGAAGGGTCTCCAGGTTCTCTGGATAAGACTTTCATTAGTTACCTGGAATTGCACCTCACCAATAGTTTGTTTCAGAAGGAGCAAAACGCGTAGAGGACTAGCTACCTTGTGATGATACCGGGAAAGCAATCTACTACAGACTACATATGAACCCAAGTAGTAATTTACTCTATAAGTAGGCCAGTATCTTATTCCCGGGTAGTTCATTGTGGATGCCAATAGGGATGCTCAGAGTATAAGGAGGGACACTTTTTTATGTATTTTAAACATGATTTTGATACACATGCTTTTAATGATGTATAAAAAAAACAATATTTTTTACCTAATCGAATCACAAGTGGTGTCTTTGGTACATTTTTTAAGGGCTAATTCACACCAGCACCACTGCGTTCCGGCCCGATTGGTGCCGGAACGCACTGGATCGTATTCCGGCCGGCTCACTTTGTTTTGGGAGGGTGCGTGGCGGTGCATTGAAGACAAGGGCACCACAGCCAGTG